ACACACACACACACACACACACACACACACACACACACACACACACACACACACACACACACACACACACACACACACACACACACACACACACACACACACACACACACACACACACACACACACACACACACACATACACACATTGCAGTTGTAGTAGTCTTAAAAGGGAGATGCTATTGCCGTCTATATGTCCGTGTGATATATATATATACATCATGAGTTAATGAGACATTCGTCTCATTAACTCCTGATACACATGTATACACGCATAATAATCAAGAGCGCAACACGCACAATCTAGTTGGACAACTAATTACTAGAGCAATGTTTCGTAGCTATGAACACAGCGCTATAATATAAATGAGCAGTTCGCGTGCGAGGAAAACGCGCGTAAATAGTTTTAGTTCCCCGGTTCACATGTGGTAGCCTGTATGATCGTAAAAGTCAACATCCTCGTTAGCAGTGATGAATACACAGCATTGTGTGTGTATAGCGAATCCCGAATGTGTTTTCTGTCTACTCATGATCATAGTAGACACAGTATTTTACCGATTAAAAGCTGCTAGAAGCAAATGGCCGCAGACATGCTGCCCCATCTTCATTTCATTTCATTTTGTCTGGCAAGTGGTAGCGCAGGCAAGATGCGCGCTCAGAAAACTTTCCCTCCGAATTTTTTCTCTCCTTTTTTTAAGTGATGTCTCGTGTAGTGACATTGAAAGACACGAAAGGGTTAATTAACTACTGATGTCGCCAATGCGTGTGGGGCGTGTGTGACGGGGTATAGGGATAATGAGTCATTACGAAAAAATAAAAACAAAATACAAACATGGCTGCCGAGTGACATCTAAATAGAGGACCAGTTGAACTAAACAGCGCATGGGGGGAATTCAGCAACCATAAAAGTGAAAGCTCGGAAACCTCGGAATTTATGGTTATATTGCCTACTATATCTCCTACTCGATAATTGAATTTATTCTTGTAGAGTGGTATTCCATTGCGGATTACATACTACACTATTTATTACATTTTACTGCACCAACATTATTTATTATAAAGTTTTGGAATCGCGGATATATATATATATATATATATATGCATGGTTCATACAGGAGGACTGAAATTTTTTTCAAGGACTTTTCAAGGACATTTTATCAGAACTTCAAGGACATTTTATCAGACATTTTATCGGAATTCATACACAGAACAAAACATACCTGGATTAATTTAATAACCGGTTACTCCATTCTTAATCACTGCATGTCACCTCAAAAACTTACCTGGATCACATTAAAACCCTTCTAAACACTGTCACTTCTACAACATACCTTGATTTACTGACTGATTTTAGTGACTTACTGTAATTTGTGATCATCATTTAACTGTCTATCGTGTCTATTGCTTTTTTTTAGCTCATTTAACGCAATTTTTATTGAGGTTTGCACATTATTGATGGTACAAAATTTCTTTTTATTACAGGCAATGATTCTTTCTAAAAATTCAAGGACATTTTCATGAAATTCAAGGACTTTTCAGGCACAAAATCAACATTTACTAAATTCAAGTACTTTCCAAGGACTCCCCTCTAATTCAAGGACTTTTCAAGGACTGTGCGAACCATGATATATTATATATGCTTAGTCCATGACATAATTACAGCTTCAGGGGTACGGGAGGTGAAGGGACTATGTCACAATTAAGTTACCCGCATGACTCCAAATAAGCTTGTCTCGTGATCAAATCTGTTATAATGCCGAGCAGGGTAGATTTACTATATATGCTAACTATAATAGCTACGCATCAAACCACAGTAACGCACTATATAGAGCTGCACACGTTGTACGAACAACCGTGAAATCGCACACGAGAAATTCGTACACGGGGATTATTACGGGCGAATCCATTCGATTCGCTGTCACTCGAAAAGATAAAATCGGCTTTCATTTTACGAGGGGCATCGTGGTGTCCAGTCTTAACCCGCGTGCATAATCCAACAACGGTCTCGATTAAGTTAGAAATGTTTGCTCCATGTGCGAGTATACACAATCACGTACATGTATGTACGTGCTCGGCCTTCGCGCTTAGTTTGCGCGCGAATGCAACACATGTTGGGACTTTAAGAAAGCTATGCCTAATGGGAGGGAGGGAATTCACAGATCGCGCGATGTAAAATCTACACGCTCTGGCTGCTCGTGACTATATTTAGCTCCGGCGCGCGCTTCTTCGTAGAGTTTTCACTTGTAGTTCGACGCGTGAAACAGCAGTGGCGGAGGTTGTTGCACGTGGCACGGGCACACACCAACAAGTTGACACACACGCACGAGAACAGGGGCGCTTGTATGACAGACAACTTCGAAATGGAATCTCCGTGCAGTCATTTCGTTCACACAGCTGGCTTCCGTAAGGGCGATCTTTCTGAGCAGAAACAACATGCATGCTACCATGTACATAAGTGTCCGCTCATGGATCCAACCTTACTGTCGTTAAACCAATGATGCCAAATCTAGACTACAATTTTTAGTAGTGACACCGCAGTCATACTCATACAGCAATATAGCGACTCGTACAAAAGTATAAATATGTGTGCGTGCGTGCGTGGGTGCGTGCGCGTGTTTGATCATGTGCGTATGCTTGTGGGTGTACGCGAACGCACACACCATCAACAAGTTTGAAGAGAATGGCAAAATCGATCAGCATCGTACGTCAACAGTCCCACGACAAACAGCGTGGCATTGTAAGCTCACGCATCTTATTCACTCCACCGCCCAACCCCCCCACCCCGACCCCACCCACACACACCACACAACACACACACACACACGACACGCGCGCCACACGCGCACGCACTCACGCACACGCAACTAACGCACCACAACACACACACACACACACACATAGCAGTACAAACACCCACACCCACATACACCCACCCTCACCCCCACCCACACCTACCCACCACACATACAATACACACACACAC